TAATAAGGTACTGTGAGTTATGAATACATTAGTAATCTGTAATAGTCCGGTATATGTACTGTACAGTCATCAAAAAAACTATCTCTACTTGGGTTGATTAATGAATTTCAGAATGAACACTGCGACTCCTGTTGTCTCGGTAGGGTTGTCAAAATCCTTCGTCTGTTGTGTCATATTTTTCAACACAATTTTGTATAGATATTTTTTTGAGTGACTGTTGTTACGAGTTGGGGATTTAGAATATAGTTATACGTCTACCCAGATCCCAACAGGTAACAACAATAAAAAAAACAAAGACAATCGGACTATAAAAGGGTAGACAAAGGATGCGAGTTTTCGTTGTATATAATAGAGTACCATAAATCCCTTAACAAAATATTCAGCTTATAAATTACCCTTAACCAAACTTAACCTAAACATTAACAGTATATACATATTAATAAACATAAAACAATCTCGAAGCAAGTGGACGTGGGGAAATTAATACAAGATAATAGTACTTAAGTGAGGAGCTGAGATGGCTGACGAGTAAGGCTGAGTATTGTAGAAGACGGTAGGTAGTCACTGCACGTAGGTTTAGAGGATAGATGATCCTGTGGTCACTTCCCAGAGCCAAGTGCCTCTCCTCGAATTGGAGCTGACAAAGAAGACTTTGAGGAGGTGACGCAACCAGGATATGGAGAAGGGAAACCTCGGAGTGGTAACTAAGACGAGTCATACTCGTGTCTCGTCCCTAGATGGCGTTGCTCGTGGTGCTGGGTAGGTAGATCAGGACAATAGATGGCGTGCTTCGTAGTGCTGGGTGGAGGGTTCGTAACACTGTACAATGAGTTAGTATTGTACATACACAGTAAAACACCAACATTTCCGGGCTATGTAGTAACTCAGCCAAGCCTTTCTCAAGTTACGTCGTGTCCTGTGAGTACTCTGTCAACAAACTTCGCCTCATCGACCAATCATATACCCGGGCCACTGTAAACAACAGGTGAATGGCCATACAGCGTCGTTAATTACTTGTTGTGCACCTGAGAAACATTTAGTAGGGTTTTATAATTACTTTCCTCATCTTGTGACCGACACTGTATTCAATCTCCTTTATTCTCCACAACTAAACTGTAAACATTGGATACGAACCAATGACCATAAAGGCAGGAATCGAACGCTGTATCCACTTGTTCACCACACACAATGTTTTCTATTCGTGTGTCAAGACCAACATTATGATAATTTTTTACTTATTCTCCTGTTTTATTTATTTATTGTTCCTGGGTAGTTCTCTTTAGTTTTAATACATAAAAATTATATGTGTGTTACTTAATCTGTTCCGAAGAAGAAATATTTTTTATTGGTATTTTGTAATTCATTTTCCTCTCATACTGGGATAAATACATTTCCATATTCTCTTCACTATAACATTCCATCTCGTAACCTTCATCTCCTTTCCTTCTCGTTTCCCTTCAGTATCCGTCATTTCTCTGATCTAAATATTTCCTCACAGTCCACCAATACCTGTACCACACATGTCCAATATCAGGGTTAATACTCCCAGCCTCCTGCCCATTCCTCCGTCGCTTGTTCGTTTTATGGTGCCGGAGATGTGGGCCGTTTCCTCGCGCTTGACGAGTGAGGAACGGTGCTGTGCTTGGCCAGTTCCAGAGCCTCTTTGACAATCCTATTTCTCGGCTGATTCGACAAGTGGACTCCAGATTTAACAAGTCCCAGTCCTGAACTAACTTATCTTTAACTTAACCTCATGGTACTAGGGTTAATTCCTGCCAGACACCATTCCTAATTGATGCCATTGCTAATAGGTTAGAATAGGTTGTATAATAGGGTATAATTAATCTCAATTTTTTTTTAGTTGTAATGCTTCACTCTTGATCACTATTCACGCCACCAGGTACTGCTTCAGCTGGGATTCTATCTGACTCCTTCAGACACTAGGAGACTCTCACACTTGTTTAACTTTAGTCAGAAGCATAACCTGTACAACTCTGTGACATATACCCAGTGAGTCAGTGAGGGAGTCAGTGAGGAAGTCAGTGAGTCAGTCTCAAGATTATGTCTCTTCCTCTCTGACTTATTTCTTATTTTTTCCTTTTTTTTATATTATCCTATTGACATCATCTCTCTCTTCTACGATGTGAGCCTCAACTCGAATCATAGTCAATACTCCAGTAAGTGTGAGGTAAGAGTCCTGTCTAGTATATACATTATGTAACACCTGAGAAACAGAACCTATCACATCCCCCCCCCCCTCCCAAAAAAAAAACATCACCAAGGATATTAACTCTCCTTCGTCAAGTATAGGAATTAATAAAGAATCTGTGATAAAACAAAAAACGTAGTTACTAAAACACAAAAACTACAATAACTTTATATTTCTCCAAAAACATTCCTTCACTCCTCACCTGCCAGTGTTTGTTGTACAATATCTGACAAACTTAATCCAAAAATATACTTTGATTCATATACAAGCTGAGAGTTACGAGGTGTTCTCTGTATGTTGCTTTATTAAGGGTCAAAACTGTTCACTCTACCTCCTATTAGTAGTGTGCTGAAGGCTTAACAGAGTGTGATAGACATTGTAGTGGTTATTAAACAGGGGGACTCAGAGGTGTGTCAAGGGTGAATGATAATATTGTGTCATTTTGAGTGTAGGGCTGGGTGTAGGGGTGGTGTAGAGGGGTGTAAGGGTGGTGTAGAGGGGTGTAAGGGTGGTGTACGGGTGGTGTAGGGGTGGTGTAGGGCTGGGTGTAGGGGTGGTGTAGGGAAGGTGTAGAGGGTGTAGAGGAGGGTGTAGAGGTGGGTGTAGGGATGGTGTAGGGAAGGTGTAGAGAGCTGTAGGGGTGGTGTAAGGAAGGTGTAGAGGGGTGTAGGGGTGGTGTAGGGAAGGTGTAGAGGGGTGTAGGAGAGGTGTAGGGGGTGTAGAGAGGTGTAGTTTAGGGTGTTTTGGAAGAGGGGATGGTTGTGTTAGGGAGGTAGCGTGGTTGGGGAAAATATGCGTAGGTTGCCTTGAGTCTCAGTTAAGGAAGGAGACTTTTGTTAATTAAGACGATGACAGTGTTAAGTTACTGTTGAGTTTTACCAGCTTAGGGACTCAACCCTGCCAACACTCTTCTGCCAACATCCTGCCAACACTCTTCTGCCATCACTCTTCTGTTAACATCCTGCTAACACTCTTCTGTTAACATCCTGCCAACACTCTTCTGCCAACACTCTTCTGTTAACATCCTGCTAACACTCTTCTGCCAACACTCTTCTGCCAACACTCTTCTGCCAACATCCTGCCAACACTCTTCTGCCAACACTCTTCTGCCAACATCCTGCTAACACTCTTCTGCCATCACTCTTCTGCCAACATTCTTCTGTTAACATCCTGCCAACAAGTGCCACCCACATCTTGCCAACACCTTGCTGCCAATATCCAGCCAAGAAACCGCTGCTAGCATCGTGTCAACACTTTGCCAACACCTTAATGCCACCGTACTAACAACATCGTATATCCATCCTACTGCTATCCTGACACCACCCAACCTTTATTCTGCCAACGCCCCGAGACAACACTGCTGCTTTCCTATTTTCACCCCTCCACCATCATGTTGTCACTATGCCACCACCATGTTGGCAGTCTGCTACCATGATTGTCACTCTACCACCAACCTGCCACCACCATGTTGGCATTCTGGTACCATCACGTTGTCACTCTGCCATCACTCTGCCACCATTATGTTGTCACTATGCCACCACTGTCACCATCATGATGTCACTACACCACCATCTTGCCGACACTGTTCCTGTGATAGTGACAAAATGTCTCCACTGAATATCCTCCTTGATAAACATTCATCTTATTGACCCCTTCATTTAATGTGACCTTTACCGTAAAACACTTTGTTGACCTTATTATTTCTTGAGGGAGTTGCTGTCACGGAGATACGCCACGTCACTTGATCACTGCTGTCATGGATCAAGGACTTACTCACTATCAAGAACACGTACTAACAAGACTTACTGAACCCACAGTATGAATTAGTCTTCGTGTACAGTAACCAAAATGTGAAAAAAAATATATATAACTTAATCATTTGCCAAAGGAATATTACATGACCAACCATCATCGCTCTTATGAAGTTCGTGGGAAACACTCTCTTTGACTGAATCCAAGTTTATGTAAATTATAACTTGAAGGATGATGGCAGGTTCCCCTATTTTGCATATTGATGAAACTGAGTCTTTAAAACCAGTGAATATTAACAACATCATTATATTCCTTAATGATCCAAGACTTAGCCTCATAGACTCATCTGTGTGATCCTGTAAGCTTCCTCACTCTCTTGTTAAAGACCCTGGGTGTAAGGGAGTACCGGTGTTTTGTATAATTTTCTTAACACAGATATATTCCTATTAATGATATAAATTCAAAGGTTCAGAGAGGTTCACCCTGACAAAGGTTCAGAGAGGTTCACCCTGACAAAGGTTCAGAGAGGTTCACCCTGACAAAGGTTCAGAGAGGTTCACCCTGACAAAGGTTCAGAGAGGTTCACCCTGACAAAGGTTCAGAGAGGTTCACCCTGACAAAGGTTCAGAGAGGTTCACCCTGACAAAGGTTCAGAGAGGTTCACCCTGACAAAGGTTCAGAGAGGTTCACCCGGACAAAGGTTCAGAGAGGTTCACCCTGACAAAGGTTCAGAGAGGTTCACCCTGACAAAGGTTCAGAGAGGTTCACCCTGACAAAGGTTCAGAGAGGTTCACCCTGATTCACATCAAGAAGAATATACACAATCTCCCTGGTGCTCTGGTGGAGGAGGACCTCCGTTATGTTCCTTCGGTACGCCGTGTTTGGGTCCTCCCTCACCTGGTTCCCCACACACCAGGTCCTGTTTATGAGAGGAACCATCAGTAGATACTTGACACAATATATCTATTTTGTTCACCACTAGGTAACTTTATCATAGCTTCTCTACTATATTTTGTCCTACAATATATATTATCTTCAATGAAAGTTGAATTATCTTTATTTAATAATATAAAGTCAATACAGACATTTTTTGTCTGTTTGTATATTTATTGGTTAGCATAAAGAAACATAATTGTTGCTTAAGACTCAAGTTGGTAATTCAGTGTGAGAGAAGCCTGTATGAAGGTGAGTCAGGGTGAAGGATTCAGCTGCTGCTTCTGTTCCTGGAGGAGATATGATAGAGCTTCGGTTGTCTTTATCCCTGAGAGCTCTTCCTTCTCCCGGAGGCAACAATGTAGTTATGCCCAGTGGAGGTCTTGTGGCCTCTTTTCCCTTGAGGTAACACCTTCAGTAGGCTAGAGGTCACAGGTGGTCAAGTCTAGATCTTGGGAGATGTTGAAGAATGTTGTTATAGTTCGTACAGGTGATACATTCATCACGTTCTGTCTCGTGACGTCACTATTGTTCTCTGGTGTGAACGATGGCTGCAGCATCGGGTAACACGTGGCGAGACAGGTACAACATCGACCAATCAGGAGACTCAAGATCACCTTAACAGTACTCTTTGAAGATGATTGGATCAAGGTCGACCAGGTACTCCCCGTCAGAGCAGGTCGTGCGTTTACTGATGAGGTTGAGGAAGGTGGAGTTCAGTATGACCCAAGCGATGTCGCACCCACATATAAGAGGGTTATCTTTGAGAGAGAAGAATCAGTTTAAGCGGAAACTTAGACACTCACTCGTACACAGACACTCACTCGTACACAGGCACTTACTAGTACACAGACACTCACTCGTACACAGACACTCACTCGTACACAGACACTCACTCGTATACAGACACTCACTCGTACACAGACACTCACTCGTACACAGACACTCACTCGTATACAGACACTCACTCGTATACAGACACTCACTCGTACACAGACACTCACTCGTACACAGACACTCACTCGTATACAGACACTCACTCGTATACAGACACTCACACGGACACTCACTCGTATACAGGCACTCACTCGTATACAGGCACTTACTCGTACACAGACACTCACTCGTATACAGACACTCACTCGTACACAGACACTCACTCGTATACAGACACTCACTCGTATACAGACACTCACTCGTACACGGACACTCACTCGTATACAGACACTCACTCGTACACAGACACTCACTCGTACACAGACACTCACTCGTACACAGACACTCACTCGTACACAGACACTCACTCGTACACAGACACTCACTCGTACACAGACACTCACTCGTACACGTTAATGCTCATAAACAAGTTATCTTCGCACATGAGTGTTGGGTGTGTAGGAACATGAGAAAGAGCCCTTAACTCACCTTCAAGATCCAGGGAGACGACACCTTTCTCTAGCAGCGGCCGCCATACCTCCTCCTCCACAAACTGCAGTTGGTTGCTTCGTAATGTTATGGTTGTATTTGAAGTGAGACCTGTAGAGACACCACACCTGAGTGAGTTATCCATTTCTACATGAACGGATACATCAGCGTTATACTGTAGTAGCTTTCTAAACATTCACACATAAAACGTCAACATCTTCCCAGTTCCCAAAATAGGTTGAAATGCTTCCACGTTTTACTCTCTCACTTTATAAGGACATAATTATGAGACTTTAATCTTGTTCCAGGTGAAGTATTGGTCACTGTGTTGCACCTTGCACGACCAACAGCCATAACGTCATATATTTGTATACTGCTGGTCATTAACTGTTAGTTTTTGATTCATTGCAGTAATTATAGCTTAATTTTACTCACATATTTACAAGAATACTTTACGATCTGCTACAAAGAATTATGTTATTCACATCTTGGTAAATCTTCACATGAACCATTATCATAACCCAGTGTCTTGCCCAAGCTTATCCTGACTATAATATATTCACTGGCATACTACGTAAAGCACAAGAAAAAAATATACCATACAGAAAAATTAGGTCAAATAAGAATGAGCCAAGGTGGATGATGAGAAAACTTAAACATGACATAGGAATAAAGAAAGGAATTTATAAGAAATTAAAGGGAGGGGAGGAGCAGCTCAGAAATAGGTATAATGAACTATCTAGGAATGTTAAGAAAAATGTAAGGAAGGCAAAGAGGGACTACGAAATCAGGATAGCAAGAGAATCCAAGGCGAATCCCAAGGGAGTTTTTCAGGTATATAGGACAAAGGTCAAGGACAAAGTTGGGCCTTTAAAGTCAGGGAGGGGAGAAGTGATCAATGATAGTGAGAAAATGAGCAAAGCATTGAACAGCTACTTCTTATCAGTTTTCACAGAAGAAATTCACGAGGAAATGCCAGAGGGGAACTGATATTTAGGGGAAATGAAGAAGAGAAATTAAAGAATAACACTATAAAAAAGAGGATGTTCTTAAGAAGATAAATAAATTAAAGAAGACAGAATCCCCAGGGCCGGATGAAATTTTCCCTCGAGTTTTGAAAGAGTGTAAGGAACAGATTAGCGGACCCCTCATAAATTTATTTACAAAATCATTAGACACGGGAGTTGTGCCAGACTTGTGGAAACAGGCAAATGTAGTACCCATATTCAAAAAGGGTGACAGAGCATCAGCGTCAAATTACCGGCCGATCAGTTTGACGTCAGTAGTGGGGAAATTTCTTGAATCAATTATAGCAAATAGCATCCGATCGCATTTAGAGAAAAACAAATTAATCTACGACTCTCAACATGGATTTACAAAGGGAAAATCTTGTCAAACAAATCTGCTGACGTATTTTTAGGAAAGTCTTCGAGGGAGTAGATAATGACGAAAATTACGATGTTATTTACTTAGACTTTAGCAAAGCATTTGACAGAGTACAGCATCAGAAGCTTCTCAGAAAAGTTAAGGCTCAGCTCATGGTATCGAGGGGAAAGTTTTAAATTGGATAAAATCAATGCTCACCGATAGAACACAGAAGGTCAGCGTAGATGTTGTTAAATCTGAGTGGGGCTGTGTAACCAGTGGGGTTCCCCAGGGGTCAGTACTGGGCCCACTCTTGTTCATAATCTACATAAACGATCTAGATACTGGGATCAGCAGTGACATAAGCAAGTTTGCGGATGACACCAAAATAGGGCGGCAGATTAATTCAGGGCAGGATGCAAATGCACTACAGGAGGATTTAAATAAACTGCAGGAGTGGCCAGAAAAATGGCAAATGAAATTCAACACCAGCAAGTGCAGCGTATTTAATATTAAAAAAACAAATACTGTCAATGTATACAGTCTTGACAACATCAACCTAGAGAAGTCGACTTGTGAAAGAGACTTAGGGGTACTTGTAAGCCCGGACCTACGGCCTAGAAAACAGTGCGTTGATGTTCGAAATAAGGCAAACAGAGTATTAAGTTTTATATCTAGAAGTGTAAGTAATAAGAGTGCGAAGGTCATATTGCAACTATATCTTGCGCTAGTCAGGCCGCACCTCGATTATGCGGTTCAGTTCGGGTGCCCTTATTATAGAATGGATATCAATTCACTGGAGTCGGTGAATCGAAGAATGACGAAAATGATTCCGGGACTTAAAAACCTTCCATATCAAGATAGATTAAAGAAACTAAACTTGCATTCCCTAGAAAGACGAAGAGTGCGGGGAGATATGATAGAAGTATTTAAGCGGGTGAAAGGAATCAATAAAGGAGATATAGATAAAGTTCTTATAATATCCGAGCAGATAGGACTCGTAGCAACGGATTTAAGTTGGATAAGTTTAGGTTTAGGAGGGAGATAGGAAGAAACTGGTTCACAAATAGGGTGGTGGACGAGTGGAACAAGCTTAGCAACTTTGTAGTAAGTGCGGGAATGCTGGAAAGTTTCAAAATGAGGCTAGATAGATTCATGGATGATAGAGAGTGGTAGTAACTCTCGACAGGAGCTGCCATGCACAGGTCAACCAGCCTATTGCAGACTCCTTATTTTCTTATGTTCTTATGACTAAACCTGATATAACCTCATGTTGTGTTGCTGCTCTTATGAAGGAAGTGTAAGGTTGAGTTAGCGGCTCTGGTAAAAGTTACATACCGCAAAAGAGAATCAATTAACAGTGAGAAATTACCTGAAGATGCCAGACTCGTTAACAACCAGGATAACCACACCCATAGTTAACGACTTGTGTTATCCAGTGACTTGGTTATCGCAGGAAGGCAGAACATCTCGCCAAGGAAACTGAATAACTTCCAAAGCAAGACCCACGCCATTGTTCAAACAGAGTCAATTGGAACAAAGAAACTTCCAGGAATATTAACCTCTCCTTAGAATCGAACCCATGACCTCTGGTTTACAAGGAGGAGTATATTGAGGTCGGCATCTTAAGCACAAAGGTGATTGTATCTTACCTGAGAAAGCGTTGACGGCCACACTGGAGATAGAGTTGTTGACAAGATTCAAGTGGACAGAGGTACTGGTGGACACAATCTCTAAGGCGCCCTCGGGTACATGATGCAGCTGGTTATACCCTAGCCACAACCCCTCCAAGGCTGGCAGGTCTGAGTATGTACCTGAGGAACAGTAATGCATATAGTGTATTATCACGATAAAGAACTGGTGTGTGTGTGTGTGTGTTAGGAATGTTTATTAATAACAACAACAACACTACTACTACTACTACTACTATTTATTTTTTTAACGTGGCCTCCAGCCTCCCCCAATAGTCATACCTTCGCCGCCATTTTATTACCTTAAAATTAAATATCCTTATACATAAGTAGCTACCCTAGCTGTGTTGAGTTAGTTGAGCCGCAGATCTATGCGGCATTCAGTGACTGTTGCCTCATAGTCAATATCTGCAGCTGTTGTCGACTTTGGTGCCGAAGATCTCGTTCCCCTGAGGTAGAGCAATGCAGACCTAGTGCGGCCATTGCCTTCTTGCAAGGGCGGCGGTAGCGTTGCAGAGATCACTTGCTGCGGCACCAAACTTGTTATTGGTGAGGATGACTCTCCAACCATCTGCATCCAGGCCTGAAGGGCCAGCTCCTCCCCGAGTCTTCAGTGCCTTTTACCACACCATCCCTCCTGTAATTTTCTCGAACATGACAGCGTTTGGTGGGATATAGTCACCCTGGAACCTGATGCCTTCCTCTTCACTTGCAGGGGGATGTTTTTCCTTCAGTTGTTGTAATGTCTCTCTGTTTATTGGCAGAACACCACCGAAAGATTCCTCTGTGAGAGATCTTACCACCGAGAACACCTTTCCCACCCACATCTTGTTACCAAACTTTCTGGCAACATCATCAGTGTTTTGTTTTCCGTCTCCTATTAATTTTAGTCTCTCCTGCAGTGTTCTTACTTCAAGGAGGAGATCATCAAGGGCCCCTTTTCTGCCACAATGTTTATCTCCTTTTCATTGCTGCCACGTTTTCTTTGCACTTAAACCTTGCGTGTGTCCTCTGACAGAATAGATGGGGTATTATGGCCAGTAGTTGAAGAGCTAATGGGGCCAGGGAGGAGTCGTGAGTGTAATTGATTATGAGGCGAGTCATCTCCCGGATCTTTTGTTTGGTGGCCGCGCACTTGGGTGGTTCGCAGAGGTTAGTTGGCGACCACCTGACCACTTCTGAGTAGGCTTGTTTGACCCACTTCTCCACATCGTCCCCCGACAAGCCTTTCCAATTTGTTGACTGTATGTCATTCACCTCATGAACAGTGTTTTCCGACTGAGTGGGTTCACTACTATCGTCTGACATGTCGTCATCAGGTGAGGATCTCTGCCGTATGGATTTTGACAGCTGGTCCCTTTCCCACAACCCACACATCGTGTGTTACTTCTCACACAAATACAGGTTGTGCATTTCTGATTCCAGCCTGAGCAGTGACAAACACATTTCCCAGCCATGATGTCGTCCTGGGAAGGGGAGAGCAGTGGGAGAGGTCGATGATTGTGGGGAGGGGAGGGTAAGTTTGGTGTGCTGGCCGACGGGGCCGGGCGGGGCAGGCGCGGGCTGGGCACGGAGCGACCGTTACCACCCTTGACCTGCTCGGGCTACAAGCCAGGGCCTACGTGGCACTAAGCAACACCAGCGCCACCTGCTATACAGTCGACGGCTCTCCAATAACTATCACCAATATCCACTCAGGAGGCCCACAGGTGGATGACACAGTGATCACTTCACCCACTCCGGACACACAACTAATAATTCCTGTAGTTCTGGCTGGCTGTCCCTGTTAAGACCCCGGTTTTTGACGAAAAACCCGGAGCTATCACGACCCCCATCCTCCCTCCACAACACTACTATTACTATTACTACTACTACTATTACTACTACTGCTACTACTACTACTACTAATAATAATAATTAACGGTCCACTGAAAGAACATGGCAGCCGGAAGGCTGAAAATATACAGTTACATAATTGGGGAATGGGTCACTTAATTTACAAATAATATACAAGTAACATAAGTGATACAAATATGATATATAATAACTAGGTGGGGAGAAGGTCAAACTACAGGGTATTTCAACATAGTGACAGTGCAGAAATAAATTTAAGATTGGCTGGGAGTGAATACACTGGTTAATTACGAGTTGTTGATAATTTTTACAATGGTTGGGACTGGGTTGTTTTTATAGCGATCAGTACGTGCTTGAATGGGCTGGATGCGGTAGTGCTGTCGAACAGGAATTAGTGGACGAGGGATCTTGGGTGGTAGTAGGAGCCGGTGTCGAGGATGGTGCAGAACTTTCTCACCAAATTTGCAGATGAGGTCGTGGTGATGGTCAGAGAGAGCCGAGAGGGTCAGTGTGTTGAGCGCTTCTTGATATGTGGAGTAGGAAGGGGAGAGAATAATCTTGCATGCCCTCTTCTGCAATTTTTCTAGGTGTTTCCGTTGTTTGGTATTTAAGTAGGAAGACCAGGTAGATGAAACATAAGTAAGCTTGGGAAATCTGAATGTTGAGTAAGCACTGAGAAGCTCGGGCGCGAGAACTGTGAGGGACTTGAGACGATTGAGGAGGTGGAGACAACAACTGGAGAATTTGACAATATCACTGACGTGTGATTTCCAATTTAGTTTGTTATCTATAGATACTCCGAGGAGCTTGGTGCAGTCCACAACCTGGAGTGTGTTGGGGCCAAAAATAATGGCACTGGGACAAGGTCAAAGGAGAGGTTGATGTGCATAACCATGGTCTTGGGTGGCACGCAAGGGGGGTGTAAAGCGTCTAGTGTGGCAGCATTATGTTAGTGTTAAAGTGCAGGCACTGCTTACTCCCTCTTGCTTTCAGCTACCGCCGCTGGCTTGCACGCGTGGTGGACAGGGTAGCAGTCTTGAGTAAGTCTTTTTGAAGTCTTCTGTGACGACTCTCTCCACTCCTCACTCTATCATCATAACAACTTGCTCTAGCTTGACACCAGGAGAAGAAACGGCTTCATGAAGCTACTCTAAGGAGGAAAACTTTACTAAGCCAGTGGCCTCAGCTAACTTGCCCAGCAGTAATTCTCGGGAGGATAATTTCAAAGCTTTCAAATCAATAGGAACAGTTTCACGCACTCTGAATTCAAGGAAATATCCAGTTCAGGTTGTCAGAGACACTGCGTCAGCATAAACTGTAATCGTGAGGAAGGCATTTACAGACATTCATAAGTGTTTCACAGGGGAAAGGTCTGACATCCACAATTATTGTCTATTTATCAAAAATTTATCTAGAGTTTGATCTTGTACAAGGTATAGTGACTGTGGGTATAACAGATTCAGCATTGCTAATACCTGATGCAATCCTCCTCCTGGGAAATGACTTGGTGGCAATTTGGTTGTTCCCAGATTGAAGGTTGACAACTCTCCCTTTCCACAAAACAATACTGTAGAAGTTGAGAAAGAGCAGCCATATTTGTTTCCTATATGTGATGTTACTAGGTCTGAAGCCAGGCTAGACATGAGTGATGAGATAGATGATCCTCCACAACTACCTACTACCACACAGACTGGTTCTGGGGACCTTGGTGGTAACGCTGCAATGCCTGCAGTATCTCAGAACCAGGATGGTGATTTACTCACTCAACTCATAACTCCTGAAAAATTGATTGAAGCACAAAAGACTGACCCAACACTGACTAAAATTCATAACGAAGCTGTTGATGAGGAGATAGAGAAAACCTCTTCTCTCTACTACAAGGACGGTATTCTGCTTGGGTTCTATAGACCAACTAATCTGTCGATTGACGACACTTGGGCTGAGACCCATCAGGTAGTATTGGTGGACACCTCGGCATTAATAAGACCTACCACAAATTGTTGCAGGATTTTTATTGGCCTGGAATGAAGAGGGACGTTACAGAGTTCATAAACTCTTGCCACATTTGCCAAATAACAGGAAAGCCTTGTCAGCCAATTCCCTCTAACTTTATAACCCATTCAAGTTCCCTCAGAACCTTTTCGGAAAAAACTAAGAAAGGCAATTTCATCACAAGTCTAACGTCAAACTTCTCGTAAGGGATAAAATTGTTAGAAGCGTTGCAAATGTTACTTGTTTCATAATTAACTAACAATATCAATATATAGTCCTCTTATACACCACTGAACAAGTACTGTACCTGGTACTATATCCGGCATTTCAATGCTGTTTAGGTCGATCATAATCAGTGCAGGCGCGCCCTTAAACGCCGACACGGGCACCGACCCAAAAGGATTGTGACTAAGGTATAGACGCTCCAGTGTGTCTGATATGAGAGGTGGAAATGAGAGTATTACGTTGTCATAAAGTGAGAGAATTTTAAGGTTTGTAAATGACGAGAGTTCGCCCCAAGGGAACTCTTCAATCTCGTTATGCTCAAAGGTCATCTCAGTGACCGTTTTATAGCTGCCTGCGAGCGCCTCTGTCTCTATCACCTCCAGAGAGGAGTAAGTTATGAAGAACCTCTGGAAGGTGGCGTTGCCCAGCGATCCCCGCCTCAGTACCTTCAGGTTGTTATTTTTTGAAATATGGAACGTATTGAAGGTGTTGAAGGGGAAAGAGGAGGACATGATTTTGGCCAGCTGGTCCTCACTCTCCACATCAGAGCAGTCGATAACCATGGAGTAATCGTCTCCGTGGATCACAATACACCTGCAGGGCGCGATGACATCCTCGTCGGGACAGGGACGGTTCAGTGTTGTGTAGTCATTATATTCTCTTTCTCTATCGCTAAATTCTTCTCTCTCTTGACCTAACTTCTCTTTTTCTGTGACGTCATCAACCACTGCTTTGCCCTGTGCCCTTCCTACACAGCAGCTGGACACCGCCAGTACACAGAGCAGAGCGTAGAGAGGCAGGGGCGACATGTTGTAGCAACACTGACACGACTCACTGTGATTACTGCCAACACTGATACTTGCCGCACCTTTATAGTGTGTGTGTGTGTGTGTGTGTGTGAGGTAGTTTGTTATTATTTTATCTGTTGTTTATACTTTCTTGTTCCATAACTTTTTATTGATCCATTTGTCGTGTGAGTTAGTGAAGTGTATTAAGCCTTTATTGATATATTAATTGTCAAAAAACAAAAACAAAAAATCCACATTTGAGATTATAAGAGAAAAAATATATAATACAGATGGTGGAGATGTAATAAAATTTTCTCTTTAATATGAATAACAAACCTCGACTCTACGACCTGGAAATAATTAAAAAAATGCACGGGACTTTTGGATGACAGCAGCGAGTTTCTTACATTAACGGGTTGCCAAGCAGGTCCACAGTCCTTAAAGTTCTTGATTATCATTAACTTTGTACTGCAACTGGTGCACACTGAACATATACATAAGATAAGATAAAGACTCAATTAAATGTTGATGTTATTTTCAGATGTTATATTCTTGTTTAAGCGAAGTCAAGTTGGTAATTAGTTACAGTCTTTCATTGATCGACCCATGACAAGTGGATTTGAAGATTCGTTATTTGTAGCCCGAAATGTTAGAGAAATATAGAAAGTTATCGCAACCTCTGTTACCCTTCCACCTAGCGACGAAAAAAATCATTGTGTGAACCTTTGAGAATCTAAACTTGGGATTTTAGTCTATCGTCACTTTTATTTGCATACCGCCAGACGATTTTATTCAGCTGAGAGGGGAGCCGGTACAGAAGGCCCGTCTATGTTATGCATCAGAACATACACTGTAACACCATACTCAAATATCTTATTTATTTACTATAAAACAATTATGTGAGTATAATCTAGGGAACACCTGAAGATTAGCTCCGAGTTTATTTCACCTTAAGATTAACCATCCTGACACTAACCTAACCCAACTCAATCTAACCGAAGATAATAATAATAATAATAATGATAATAATAATAATAATAGTAGTAATAATTAACGGTTTATTGAAAAAGTTCTGCAGTCCGAAGGCTGAAAATATACATTGGACATAAATGACTTATTACATACATTGGCATTGGGAGAGTTAACAAAAGCCTTCATTAGAGAAAGGAGGTCACGTAGGTCATGAGCGCTGAGGCGTTGAACAGCAAACACCGAGTGTAGTATTTCTCTCACAGATGGTGTTATGAGGGCCTCACGTGGTGTAATAATTATCTCACAGATGGTGTTATGAGGCACCTCACGTGGTGTAGTAATTATCTCACAGATGGTGTTATGAGGCGCCTCACGTAGTGTAATAATTCCCTCACAGATGGTGTTACGAGGGGCCTCACGTGGTGTAGTAATTCCCTCACAGATGGTGTTATGAGGGACCTCACATGATGCTGTAGCACCTCATTCACTATATAGCGTTATGGGGGCACCACGTGACCTGGTGTCACAGGACCTCACTCACTCAAGTGGTGTACAGTCAGGTGTGTAGGCCTGTCTGTGTGTTAGTGGGTGTAAAGTTGTGTAATCCCAACGGCCTACTTCTCCTTAGCAAGTGTTCTGCATACAACCTCACTATCACCAATACCTTGTGTAGGCAGGCCGACAAGTTCAAGGGTTCGTGGCAACACCCACGATCCAAACACTGGCATCTCACTGACTACATTATTGTCCTCATCACCTGTGCCATGCATGGCTCAGACCACTGCGACACTGACCATTGGCTCGTCAGAGCCAAGCTCTCACTTCTCGTCGCCCCAAAACGGCGAAGGCAATAAGCCTCCAGAAGAGGTTTTAACACTAAGCGTCTGGAGGATCCAGCGGTAGCACATGCCTTCAAAGAGCAACTCGGGCTGATAAACGACCCGACAACAAACATCCCACTGTCATGACGAAAACCTACAGAGACCCTCGGCCTGACCGAAAGAATACACCAGGACTGGTTTGATGAAAATGACCCGGAAATCAATGTACTCATCAATGATAAACATGCTGGTTTAACTGACTGGCAGAACAACCCTCAGCGTCGAGCCTAAGCTTATACCTTGCGCAAGAAGAAAGCGTCGGCCCAGCGTGAATTCCCTATCTAAAGAACGACTGGTTTAAAAATAAAGCATGTGAAATGCAAAATCTCCCAGATGAACACAAGATGCGTGAATTTTTAAATTCCACGAAAACATTTTAAGGGCCAATCACTCATGGTACAGCCCCCTTCCGCTCATCCGACGGTAACTCTCTAATTAAAGACGAAAAAGGCATCCTCCAGCGCTTGAAAAAGTACTACCATTCGCTGCTCAACTGAAACATCGATGTGGATATATTGACTACCCAGAAGATCCCTCAGCATCCAGAGCTGACCCACCTCAGCTATCCTCCATTCCTGGATGAGGTAGCTACTGCCATCAAACAGATGAAAAATAACAAAGCCTCAGGGCCTGATGGAATCCCAGCCGAGGTGTATAAAGCAGGAGGACCTCTGCTTACTAGCCGTCTCCACTCTCTCCTGGACAATATGTGAGAAAAAGAGGAAATCCCCCAAGCTCTTAAAGATGCCTCCATCGTCAATATTTATAAGAACAAGAGAGACCAGTCAGACTGGCAACTACCACGGGATCCCGCTGCTGTACGTAGCTGGCAAGATTATCGCTTGAGTCCTCCGAAACAGACTTCTACCTGAGGCTGAAAACTTCCTCCCAGAATCTCAATGTGGCTTTAGACCATCACGTGGCACCACTGACATGATCTTTGCTGCCCACCAGATACAGGAAAAATGCAGAGAACAGCGTCATGACCTGTACATGACTTTCATCGACTTAATCAAGGCTTTCGACTCGGTCAACAGGGAAGCCCTCTGGCGGACCCTCAGCCGTTTTTTCTGCCCACCAAAATTCATCGCCATTGTGAGGCAACTCTACGATGGAATGAACGGCAGGGTCCTGCACACTGGCACTCAGTCTGAGTTCTTCCCCATCCAAAAGAGGGCAAAACAAGGATGTGTACTGCCACCAACTCTCTTTTCTATTATCTTGGCTGCCTTCCATACTCGTGCCAATGCCAATTTAGACGGCAGGGTGGACATCCAGTATTGGATGAAGGTTTATTTCAACATAAGATGAAAACAGGCAGGAACAAAGGTGTCGGCAGCTTTCATTACTAAATTTCAGTATGCAGACGACTTCACCCTTGTCGCTCACACCAAACGCGACCTACAGGAGATCCTGAACACCTACGTACATGCATATGCACACTTCGGCCTTGAGGAGAATGTACGTAAAACTCAGATTCTCTTTCAGTCTGCCCCTGGTTCAGCCACACCTCCACCATCCAACCAGCTTAATGGTACTACCCTCTCTAATGTAACCCACTTTCAGTATCTCGACCCCCACCTGTCCACCACCGCGGACTTCGATTAAGAGATTCAACATCGGATCAGATCAGCTGTGCATCTCGAGACTTTGGCAGACTCAGTACCCGTGTCTTCAGCTGTAGGGAGCTGAAATTATCTACAAAGTTGCACGTATATCGAGCAGTGGTCCTCCCAACCTTGTTTTATGACAACGAGACATGGGTCACATACAGGAGGCACCTCAAGGCACTTGAAAACTTTCACCATCGATAGTGTACGTTCTAAGCTCCGTGTTCGCTGGGAAGACAAGAGAACGAATGCCAGTATTCTTGCTGACACCAACTGTAGGAGCATCGAGGCTACCATTATCTATGAACAACTACGTTGGACTGGCCATATTAACCGCCTGGACGACAGTAGACTGCCAAAGCAACTACTTTATAGTCACCTTACGAATAGTAAAGGTAACGCTGGCGGGCAACTGAAAAGGTACAAGGAAAGTCTTAAGACAAACCTGAAAAAGTGCCAAATCGACCCTCTCACCTGGGAGACGATTACTCCACACCGTAGCACTTGGAGGAGCACCACACGAGAAGATGTCAATACTCTCGAGTTAGCAAGACTACATACCGAGGCAGACAAGTGCCAACGCCGGAAAGACACTGCCGCCGCCCCTCCCGCACTAGATGTAGCCCCCCACATATGCAACATCTGTGGATGACCCTGCCGGCCCCTTTTTGGCCTCTCTAGGCACCTCAGAACTCACCAACTTAGTGACATCCCTAATAACTCATATCATTGTCTCATAGCTGGATGATCGTCATACTCGACTCCGAGTGACAACAAAGTAAAGTTGAGTGTCTCTGTATTAAATGGTGTAAGGATGCGTGGATCTGTGTCACTGGGTATAACCAGAGGAAAAATAACATTATCAGTAAAAGAGGAAGACACACAGGCTGTTATGCAAGATGTTGTTCCCACAGATTACCATCTACCTGTGGGAACTAAAAAACCTGTCACCATCCCCACGTGAACAACACCTGTGTGAGTGTATGATGATGAAACATTCGTAAGAACGACTACTACTACTACTAATAATAATGATTATAACCGAACAGTAAAGGTGAGGTCGTACAGTACTAACATAGTTTTCCTGCTAATTGACACATCGGGGTATAATAAACACATATTTACCGTGAGGTTTTCTTTTGTTGTATGTATCGTCTTAACGGTTACGACTACTACTACTACTACTACTACTACTACTTACTACTACTACTACTACTACTACTACTACTTTGCTGTCACTCGGAATCGAGTATGACGATCATCCACAGATGATACAATGATATGAGTTATTAAGGATGTCACCTACGTTGGTGAGCTCCGAGGAGGCCGATACGGGACCGGCAGGGTCGATCACAGATGTTGCACATGTGGGGGGCTACATCTAGCGCGGGAAAGGCGGCGGCAGCATCTTTCCGGCATTGGCGCTCGTCTGCCTCAGTTTGTAGTCGGACTAACTTGAAAGTATTGACGCCTTCTCGTGTGGTGCTCTCCAAGCGTTGCAGTGTGGAGTAATCGTCTCCCAGGTGAGGGGGTCGATTTGGCATGTTTTCAGGTTTGTCTTAAGACTATCCTTATACCTTTTCAGT